TTTTTTTTTTTTTTTTTTTTTTTTTTTTTTTGTTTTGGTTGTTGTTTTAATTCTGAAAATATGACTGATGAACAGAAGAGATCATTAACAACAACAGCAGCAACAACGACAGTTTTCTCATTAACACGGTTTTTTTTAAAACAACTTTATTCTGTTTTTACACCTACTTTTATCTCTAAAAAGTTATTTTTTTTGTAACAATTAGTAAATAAAATAAAGACGTAACTAAGCATAAATTATTTAAAAAAAGAACCGATTAAAGGTGACTATTTTTTTCCGTAAAAATTTTAAACTTTTCTTTCTAACAAAATGTCGTTTTGTTGGATTTACTTAGCTGAAAAATCATTGTTTGATTTATTGCCCAGTGATTTAATCACCTATATTTTATGTGCTGTTTCTAGTACCTTATTTATAAACAGTGTATTGCTACTAAACCCTTCTCTTAAACTTAATGAAACATTTTTTTATGGGGTGAAACAACGTCATAATATCTACAAAAAAAAAAAAAAAGAATGCCGTTATTATTAAACTATCATTGAGTTTATTGAAATCGCCATAATTGTGGTTTTCTTATCTGTTAAATTTACACTAATAATTGCTGAAAAAATTATTAGAAAATCACTTTAGATAGCCAGAAAAAAAAAAGACATTAACAACTTCAATGTTTAATTTTCAGTTTGATTATCGAGCAATTAATTATTCACTGATAGCCGCTTATTGTACAGCTTAAAAATGGGCTCTTAAACACCAACTATAATAGCGGTGTTTCAACTTCAGTAAAATGTTACGTCACAGCTATATTTACATAACCATACTTTGACATTTTTAGCACAAAATGCAAAGATCAGACTAAAATTTACGCTACAAATGATAAAGGAAATGAAGAAAACGTGAAAAAGAAACGTGAAAATCAGTTGTCGTATCAAACTGTTATTAATGCAAAAACAATTTTTGGTAAATTTGGTAGCAGCATAACTTTCAATTCTGTAGCATTGGTTTTTTTTTCTCTAATTTTTTGAGCTAATAAACTTCAAAATAAAAAAAAATAGTATTTTGGAAAAGAATCTTTTTGTTTTTTTGTTGTCGTTTTCTTTCTTTTTTTATTTTAGGTTAATACGTAAATTGTTTCAGTTGTGATAAGAGACGAATAACTCGGCAAACATTTGCTAATGACAAAAAAAAAAGCTTCAACAATTTAAACCGTTTGCCAGCATCATTTTTTTTTTTTTTTCACTGAAGTATTAAAGGAAATTTTTTTTGGTATGCAGTTATTGAAAATAAGATTTTGAATTTCTTTTTAATGACAGATATATGTAACGACATACATGTATAAAAAAAAATTTCTTCAAAAAAAACTATACCACTGCTGCAATATTTCCTACACATCGATATCTGTCTTATAATATACATACAATTTTTTATGTTTCTGTTGACAGATATCACAGACAAAAACAAGGCGTTTGGCTGAACTGAGCAGGTATACCAGCCGAAACTAAAGTAACTTAACGGTGGTTATTTCAGAGACGTGTAAAGGTGAGACAAAAGATCAAGTTCGATTGATACGTGAAAAATACATTAAAGCTTTGTATAGTTATATACAAAAATATAAGACACAGTCATTGGATGAAGCTGTCTCTCGGCTTGGCAAATTTATGCTTATTTTAGCCACTATTACGGTTTGTACTTTCTTTCCAATTAACTTTTTAATTCTTCTTTAGCGGTTTTTATTTAACTTATATATGAGTTTTGCTTTATGCAATCTTCTGTTTTTCATTTTTTTTTCCAGAGTTTATGCTTGATGATGACTGAGGCGATACAGATTCAAACGGTGTTCGAATCACTCAGTTGTGATCATCTAATGGCTGAAGTGCTTAAATTTTTTCACCAAAACGTTTGCTATCAATTTTTACATGAGTAAAAAAAAAGATGAAGAAAAGAGGCACAAAAAAATCGTTTTTCAACTCTACTGTTTGACGTTTTTTTAGTACAAATTTGTTAGTAAAACCGTTTTTTTTTTTGTTAGACTAACATTACATTCGCTTATTAAAGCGTTATTTGTTAATGTTGCAAAGTCCCACCAGAACAAAAAAAAATTAAACGATATTACTTTTACTCAAATTCAGAAAATCGAATTGAAAAAACTGAAAAATAATGAGATAAAAACCACCAGCAAAGACTCCACATGTCAAATAAAAGTGATTACCTGCAAATTCTGTACCGAAAATTGTTGTTTAGTTAAAGTGCTGTTTTGTTAATTATCAGACTAAACTAATAAATTGTATATTGAAATTCTTCTGCTCTAAAAAAGATGGTTTTGATTTCTCTTATGTGCAAAAAAAACTGTTACAAAAATCAATTTCTATTATGCTGAATTGGCTTGCAAATTTTTTACGGTTTTTATTCGGTAACCATAAGTAAGTTAGATTTCAGTAACTAAAAAATTGGTAATTAATCCTACAAAAAAAACGAAAAAGAAAAACTT